TGGCTATGTAACTGATAATGACCTTGAACTTCCTAATCCTCCTGCCTCCAAGTGTTAGGTATCTAACTCAGGACTTGGTACATGTTAGGCAAGAACCCTACCAACTGAGCTACATCCTCAGCTCCTGAAGAGCGGGGTTTAGATGAGTATTCCAGGCTGGCCTTGAACTCAGTAAGTACCAAAGGTTGGCCTCATACTCACAGAAATCCTATCTCAATCTCCTAAGTGCTGAGATTGCAGGCATGTGCCACTATGTCCTGTTTGAGGAGTGTTTTGCTCTGGCCCTCTTCCTGTCTGTCTGTTTCCTCTTATAATGAAGGGTGCTGCTTTCCTCCACCCTTCTTCTGCTTCATGATATTCGGCATCACCCCGGGTCAAAAGCAACGGAGCTAGACAGCCATGGACTGAAATCTCTGAAGTCGTGAGCTAAAACAAATCTTTCACCCTAAGTTACTTATGCCAGGTATTCTTGTCACAGCAACAGAAAGTCTGGCTACCATAGGACCTCATGAGTCTTAATCACCTCTCCGCCCTGTCACACTGGGGACCAAGCTTCTAACACATGGACCCTTGGGCACAAACCATATCTAAACCACAACAGTGTCTTAAATGTTTATTTCTCAGCTCTGGGAAAGGCTAAGACCAAGACGCTGGCAGATACAGTGTCCCGTGAGGCTCTGCTTCCTGGCTCACGTGTGATAGTTTTCTTTTTGTGTTCTCCCTTGATGGGTGGATGGAAGAAGCAGGCATTCTAGAAACTCTTGAAAGGGCATTAAGTCCATTCCTGAAGGCTCCGACCCTCATGTGTGTGTCTAACCCCAGTTTCCTCCCAAAGATGATGAATCACATTAGGAGAAAGTGCTCTGGTTTATGAGTTTTGAATTAGACGGTTATTCAGTCCAAATCAAAGGCCACATTGAACCTCAGCACCTTCACGCAGCCTTCCTCGGCCACTCCAGGTAAAATGGTTTATTCCTCTCTTATGCCCCTCCCAGTGCAGTTTCCTACTGCAGCAGCGGATGGCAGGCATGCCTGCCTCCTTACATTCCGTCCCGATCTCAGGGATCAAGATTATGTTTTCTTTGTTGTTGAACCCCGTTCTGGTACTTCCGAATCTCTTGGTTCAGAACAAAGGAGGCAATGTTGTAGTGATTGGGTCCAGAAGTTTGTGGTTTATCTAATCCAGGCTTCCAGTCTTGGCTCTGCCACTACTAACTATGGAAGCAGATTACTTTGTCCTTTAGAATCCCAGTTTATAGAGAACGGGGCTAACACTCAAGGAGAGAATGTATAAAGTGTGTGCTTCAGTGTGTGACACATGGTAAACATCAGTAAGAGGTGGTTTTTTTGGTCATTGTTATTAATACTAATATGATGCTTAGACTTGTGACTGATATGTACCAGGTCATCAATGAATGATAGTTAAGGTGGTATTGCTTCTGTTGGTTATTTAAAAAATGCTTTTTAACTGAGTGTTTGGTTAGTGCTAAGCACTAAACCATCAAAGGCTATCATAAAAAAAGAGGATGGTGTAACCATGGTAATGGGGATTGAGCACACCACTGGGCATATACAGGCAGGACATGTAACTGGTACGCATTATATAATAAACACTGGCAATGAATAATTAGATGAGTATGTGACTCTCCTGGTCAAGGACCTGACCCCTCCATCCAAGCCTTCTCCTTCGCAGGGTGCCGGGAGGGCCACGTGGATCTTGTTCTCCTGGTGGATGGCTCCAAGAGTGTGCGTCCACAGAACTTCGAGCTGGTGAAGCGCTTCGTGAACCAGATCGTGGACTTCCTGGACGTGTCCCCCGAGGGCACACGCATCGGGCTGGTGCAATTCTCCAGCCGGGTGCGCACGGAGTTCCCTCTGGGCCGCTATGGCACCGCCGCTGAGGTGAAACAGGCAGTCCTCGCTGTGGAGTACATGGAGCGCGGCACCATGACTGGGCTCGCACTGCGTCACATGGTAGAGCACAGCTTCTCAGAGGCGCAGGGTGCGCGGCCTCGTGACCTCAACGTGCCTCGTGTGGGCTTGGTGTTCACAGACGGCCGCTCTCAGGACGACATTTCGGTGTGGGCAGCTCGCGCCAAAGAGGAAGGTAGGTTCGGCAAGGGATGGGCTTGGGTGGGCTTGGAGTGGAGGCTGGGGAGCAGTGTTCTCTCTCTTGAGTGCCTGGGCCCTACAGGCATCGTCATGTACGCTGTGGGCGTGGGGAAGGCGGTGGAGGAAGAGCTGCGTGAGATCGCATCCGAACCGTCGGAGCTGCATGTGTCCTACTCTCCGGACTTTAGCACCATGACTCACCTGCTGGAGAATCTCAAAGGCAGCATTTGCCCAGGTGAGCGCATCTCTCCTGGGGCTTCTGGTCTTGGGTTGCCTGGCCTCCGACAGATGCCCTGTCCTCAGCACTTCATCCACCCTTCAGCAGTTACAGCTCTCTACGCAGAGCTGGTTGTTAAAGCCTGGGCCAGCGCAGGCCTGTCTCCTTACTGTAGCTTGTCAGAAATGCAGCCCCCAGACGATGAATCAGACCCTCAAGACCTTTTGGGCACACATCAGAGTCAAGGAAGCATGGGGTTTGTCGCTCAAATTAGTAGTGTTTGGAATAATTTGAGAAAATGTCACTTTATTTTTTATTGTATTTTATGTGCATCTTTTGCCCACATATATGTTTGTGCACTGAATATGTGCCTGGTGCTTGTAGAAGCCAGAAGTGGGGGTTGGATTCCCTGGGACTGAAGTTACACACGGTTGTGAACCACCAAGTGGGTGTTGGGCATTGAACCCAGATTCCCTGGAAGAGCAGCCAGCGCTCTTAACCACTGAGCCATCTCTCCAGCCCTGGAGAAAACTTTAAAAAGCAAGCCAAATTTAGCACATGTAAGTGGAACCATCTATAACCCTCCAACTTGTTGGAATTCAACTTTATGGATTTGGCAAAATGACAGGACTGGGTTTTAACACAGTGGCTTGTGCTTTCTGGGGGACGTAGACCATAAATGCAATCTCTCTAATGCATCTGGTCTTCAGCTGGGGGGAAACTGACCCAGATGTGCCCGTGGGTGGGGGACAGCTGGACCTAATAGCAGACTTGAGGTTCTTGATTTTGACCACAGGGTCTTCAGATTCTAACACAGACCCAAGATGGGATTCTTCTTCCAGTGTGTCAGGCACTGCCGGTGGAGCTAGGTCGGCAGGGCTGTGCCCAGAGCGGAGAATCTGCTGTTGAATGTCCTTCCTGCTCCACTCTCAACTCTAATGATTAACTAAGGTGTTTTGGAATCACTGGGCTTTAGGGCCTTTCCTGTCCCAACTCTGTCATCTCCTGCGGACTCTGGATAAGTCCCTCCTCCAGACCTTCCCTCTTCTGTAAGAGGGAGGATGCTCAAGGTTACCTCAGCTTTAGGTTTCCGAGGCAAGTTGGGGCTCTCTGGTTAAGGCTCTTCATTGGCTGACTGTACTACAGCCTAGGCTGATCCTCGTCCTTCTGTTTCTACAATTCTAAAGTCAGAGGCGATCCTTTCTGAGAATGTTATTGAGGCCATCAAGTAATATGACACAAAGTAGTTTGCCAGGTATGGGAGTTTGGCTGGTAATGGTAACTCTATACGGAGGCCGAGTGCCAAGAATTGTGTCACTACTTTATTACATGTAATATTAAAAATGGGGGCTGGTGACATGGCACAGCAGGTAAAAACAGTTGCCATGCAAGCCCGATGACCTGAGTTCAGTCCTGGAGCACATTCACAAAAAGCCAGATGTGATGGCTCACATCTGTACCCAGCACCCCCACAGCAAGATGGGTCAGGGAGACAGGGAAGAACCTGCAAGCTTTAGGCCAGCTAGCCTGGACATAGGTAGGGAGGCGAAAACAATGGAAGAGCCTGCCTCAACAGGAGGAAGGAGAGAGCCGACTCCCAAAAGCTGTTCTCTATTTCTACAGGAATGCTGCGGTATGCACCCACACTCTCTCTCACACACATATCATACACCTGCATAATAATAATAATAAAAAACGCCATGGACTTATAGTGATGCTATCTCTGGTAAGATTCACTGCTATTTTATGTGCTGTTAAGAAAACATAGGCAACCACATTTAACTGTACCCCACTGTCAGATGCTGAAATGTGTGTGGAGGTAAATGTGGGCCCATAATTTAAACATTATTTTCTTCAGAATCAATGGAATCAAATATTGCTGGGCTTCACCCCGACTCAGTTGGTCCAGGATAGGGTTGGATTATTTGTCTTTATGACATATTCCCAGGCCATGCTTATCTGCGTGTCCACAGACCACAGTTTGAGAATGCTGGTTTCCTTAAAATCCACAACACAGGGTTGACTTGTGCCTGGCATAGTTTTAGATATTGTGTCAATATGGCATTCAGTTGCTACATGTGTATAATGAGATACAACAGATCACAAGGAAGCAAAATAAAAACTGAGTTCTTCAGTTGCACCAGCCACATTTCAAGGGCTAACTAGCTCCAGGTGGCTTGTGGCTACTGAATCGGCGCGACAGATATAGAACACTTCCGTTGTTTGCTATGTCTCATTTGGAGAGTGTTTGTCACCCTGGATTCTTTCTAATCAAAGTGAAATCCCTGGTCTTCAGTATCAACATGCTTTAGGAGCTTATTGAAAATACAGATCCTCATTCTGAATCAGAATCTGGATTCTAGCAAGCTCCCTGGTTATCTCAGTAAACATTGGAGTTTCAGATTGTGTACACATACACAAATCGTGTAATCCTCCCAACCACCAGTGGATATCCACTATATCCACTCTATAGATGGCAGGCATTGAGGCTTAGACCGTTGAGTTTTTCCCAGGATTTCGGGGCTCCTCGGCTGGGGCTCAGGCCAGGTCTAAATCCAAAGCCTGTACATACTCAACCATCGACTTGGTAGAGGTGTATCAGAAGGTCAAGGCCACAGCCCAGTGGGCTTCCTTTGGATCCTCACACCTTTGACTCTTGGTGCTCTACTTGCAGAGGAGGGCATCGGTGCAGGGACAGAGCTTCGGAGTCCCTGCGAATGCGAAAGCCTGGTGGAGTTCCAGGGCCGCACGCTGGGGGCGCTCGAGAGCCTGACGCAGAACCATATCCTTTGGGGCTGGAGGCGCCGGCTGCAGGGCAGGTGAAGAAAAAAATCTCTGAGCCGGGATCTTCCTTAACTGCTCACTGGCCCAGCTGACAGAGCGCCTGGAGGAGCTGGAGAACCAGCTGGCTAGCCGGAAGTGAAGGTCGCGTGCCGTCTGAACACCCGTGCCCCGCGGCATGGATCGTCCGGGAGGGGGCGCTGGCGGGCCCCCAGCGCTGCCTTCGAGCTGGCCTCGCCTGGACCAGAAGCCAGATTTGGGGGGCGAGGGGATGGGGAGGTCCTGGTGGGGAAGGCACGCTACACTCGCACGCCCTCGCTACGTGCTGCGCCCACTTCTTGGTTGGATTTCTTTTTTGTTTTCTTTTTCTAAAAAAATACCAAAAAAACCGCAAAAAACAAACAAGCCTACACCGGTTTCCAGTGGGTCGGTTTGTGGCTCTTGCTGCGCCGCCAGGGGGAGGGGAGTTCAGATGCAGCGCGCTCGCAGGCGCCCGGACGGCGTCCTCTTGGAGAAAGGCGCTTTGTGCCATACTGGGGCTGGGGGCAGGGGGCCGGCCACCGCTTCCCGTGCCTTGTTTATTCAGCCCAGAACAGATGGCCCGTTATGCAGGAATCGGGGAAGGAGGGGGGTGCCCCGAGAACCCTTGGGTCTGAGCAAGTCTGAGTCCCCCATCCTTCAGCACTTCGTTCTCTTGCTGTTCCTGTCTCCTGGCGCCAAAAATGTGGCTCAAAGGCCGCTTGGGACCTGGCTGGGGAGTTGGTGAGGAACAATCAGAGTGTGTGTGTGTGTGTGGGGTGGGGTGGGGTGGGGTGGGGTGAGAATGTGCTTCACCTGGAATGTGTCTGCCTCTGGCATTCAGTGGCACACCTGAGTCCGTGGCTCTCCCTCTGCCACGAAACACAAACCCCTCTACCGACAAGGAACACAAACTTCCCAGGTACACGTGGAAAACTAAAGCTTAAAATGTTTTCCGTTTCAGAGTGAGTTTCAGGTGAATTCCTCTGGGTTTGTTTTGCCACCGTTAAAGCTAGGATAGGAATTGTTACCCCCGATGGGGTGCCGTGGTTAGAATTTATGCCAAGGCACCTGCCATCGTACCCAACATGTATCTTAGGCCCTTAGTTAATGGTAATTGGCAACTATTCCTATTGGAATAGGTAACATGTTCCGTCTTGGACATGGTTTTAAGTGATTTCCAAGCATTGCCATTGTATCCTCTTTTATCCAGACAACCTTGTGAGATTATTATTATCTTAGATGGCAAGATGGCCCAGCTGGCAAGCACGTTTACCCATCACTTCTGACAATCTGAGTTCATTTCTTGGAACCCACATGGCAAAGAGAGAACCAATTCCTGCAGCCTGTCCTCTGACCCCCCCCCCCACATCCCTGATAAATAAATAAATGTAAAAATGAATCTTAAAAATAATTATTGCTTTCGTCGCTCCATTTTGCACATGAAGAAACAGAGTCGTGCAGTTTCCCAGAGTCGCGCATCTACTGAGAGGCTGGACTCAGGTTATCAGTTCCCTGTTGCTGCTATAACAAACGGAGGGCCTTGAAAGCAAGAGGTCCTTGTTTTACACTTCCTGAAATCGGAAGTCCAAGACGGCTTGGCAGGGGAGCATGCCTTCTGGAGAGGCCTGCTTTCTTTTGTAGCTTCCGGAGGCCCCCCAGATTCCTTGGCTCACAACCTCACATCCCTCTGATCTTGGCACCCCTATCTCTGCATGTGACTATATTGCTGTGACTTTGACAATCGCAGATACGCTTCTACTTCAAAACACCTGTAGAAGTCTCCTTTGTCCCCCAGTGTCATCGATTTATCCACAGGTTCCCAGGATTTGTATGCAGAAGCTGTTGAGGGGTACACAACTCTGCTGCCATGCAGGGCTGAAGTCAGGCTGACTGATTTCAGAGAGGGTGCTCTTGTACTTGGCGCCCTGCTAGGCTGGGTGGAGAGGGACAAAAGCCCTTGAGCTGGGGGAGCTCAAGGCGGAGGGGAGCGAAGTCCACTTGTGTATAATAACTGTACAGAAAGAGGGCGTGTCAGAGAGAAGGAGGGTAGAGGAGAACTTTGAACCAAACCTGAAACCACATGGCTGTATTTTCTGTGATTGGCTATGTGGGTCAGGAGCAGCTGGGCACAGTAGCTGGGGTGATCAGATAAACTAAGCATGCTGGGGATAGCACCTGGCATGAGCTCTCACCTTGCCCAATCCCTCAAGTTCAAGTTAAAGAAAGTGAATCCTAGAACACAGAGATTCTTGTCTAACAGCACACAGAGAGGAAACAGCAGGGCCAGACAGAAGACTTGAGGGGACTGGAACAGAGCACTTCCCGATGGGGGTCTGTGAGGAAAGGCGGAAGCTAGATTCTTTCTTCTTTTCCGGACAGAACCAGAACAACCTCTCCGCTTCCTTTTCTCAACAGCTCTTTACCTCTGCAATTTCCTTCGTGGCCACAGGAGGGCGCCTGAAGCTCTGGTTTAGAGCTGTAACTCGAGCCTGGGTAGGAGGAGGCGCCTGGCCCCTGGCCCCTGGGCTGATGATGGCCCTTCCATTTAATACCAAAGGTTTTAGAATGGCGGGTGAGGTCAGTGGGCCAGGGAGGAAGCCGCAGGGACGGAACTAGCCTTCATGCCTGGTCCGTTTTCCCCTAACCATACACACTTGCTCAGTGTGGGTCTTTGTCATTTCACTTCGGAATGGGAGGCCCAGCCTCTGTTAACTTGTGGGGCTGATGGCATGTGTTCTACTTTCCTAGGAGCATTTACAGTTTAAGAGGAGTCAGATGGGTGGTGGCACACACCCTTAATTCCACACTCAGGAGGCAGAGACAGGAGGAGATCAGTGAGTTCAAGGCCAGCCTGGTCTACAGAGCAAGTTCCAGGACAGCCAGGGCTACACACAAGAAATCCCGTCTCAAAAAACAAAACAAAAGTTGAAGAAGAGCCAGGAAGGGAGAGAGCAATTGGTGATCCAAAGAGAATAAACGGAGGGGTTTCAGACAGCCAAGGCCTCGTGAGTGGCCTGGGCCTGCCTTGTTTTCAGGGCCTGGATCCCTACGGGATCTCATGTGATTCTCAAGGGAATGCTGTGAAGTTAGCGCCTTCACTTTCATGGTCAGAGGAAGCAACTTCGGTGAGAGAGGGGAAGAGAGGTGTCCGGAACCTTTCTCTCTGATGTCCAGGGCTCTCCCTACTTCATCAGCGTGATTGGAAAGGGGGGGGGTTGTCAGAATTGGGGTGAAAATGAGGGGTCTTGACTCAATCCCAGGTGCCAAAAGGCTGGGTATCTTAGAGGAGAGAGAGGAGGTGGGAAGGGAAGGGCATGGGTGCTGGGAACCTTCTGTTCTTTGAAGTCACATTCCAGAAGGGCAGGAGGAGAGAGGGAGGGGAAGACAGTGTGAATCAAAGGATAGCCACGATGATGGTGATGGTAGCAATAGTCACAGCGGCTGGTGTTCACGGTGATTCACAAGGAAGTTTCCCATCAATCACAACTCAGCAGAGCCGCATGCCACCCCAGGGAAGGATAGGACAGTGTGGTTTCTGCTGTTTCACCGAAGGGAAATGCAAGGCTTCAGAGTGGAGGGAGCCTTGCTCAAGTTTAATGTCAGCTCACTGCCACTGCTGGGCTAGACTGAGGCCTCCTGGCTCCCAGCCATACATGGGCTGCCCACATGGGCTCCAGCTGTGGTCAGCCAGAGAGAATGGGGCCTTTGTTGGAGCCAAGGCTCAGGCACATGCCTTCTGCAGCCTTGGATGGAGGTCTAAGGAGATGGTTTGGACAGGAGGCTAGGGTAGGAAGGGGCAGGAGGATCTAGTTAGAGTGAGGAGCTGGTCCTTAAACGACCTGTGGATCTGCCAGCTGATCCTACCCCAGTGACGGACTCCATGACGCTGGCCTGGACTGTGTCCCTTCCTCCTCCCTCCCTATCTCAACAAAGACCTTCACTCATGCCTTCCTTTCTAACTTGACTCAAACCTTGCAGTCCCCCTGCTCAAAGAAAATGAGCCTTCTTTGTGAGTAATGCCCACTGTGTTCCTACTGTGTGCAAGGTTCTGGGCGGGGGTGGGGTGGGGTGGTGGTTGGGGGTTGGTCTCTGTTGTCTCCATGTGATGGATTTCATTTTCTCTGTTACCCTCCAATTCCATGCTCAAAAATGAATTTGTGTGTGATTCAGGGTTGAAATTTCTTTCTAACTTTCATTAGCGTGCTGTGGCTTTCAGGGAAAGGCATGGAGGGGAGGTCTATTATGGTAATTTTCCCATCTTTAACCAGTAATGCTCATGTTAAAAACACTTTAAGAATTAAAAAAACCTACTATCCAGAACATACTTGTGTTGCTCTTAAAGACCCTGCACCTGGGCTCTGGATGTGAGTACCCAGAGAAATAGAACCCCTACAGTGCAGCACCCTCCATCATGTTCACACGTGATCTCGAGTGTGGGGAACACACACCAAGTGACAAGGCAGAAAGGAAATGACAGATATGAACAGATGTCACCCTTTCAATATGGGAGGTGAATTGGACACCAACAATGATCAATAAAAACTGACCAAGACCCCAGTTTCGTTCTCCAGTAGGAGCTATTCACAATCCCTCCTTCTCCAAGAAATGTCACATTTACCCTAACGGACCCTGATGTCTCCTGGAGGGGGAACAGAGGAATCACGGGCTCACTGATCTGACCTCTGATGTTTTATATACCCATTGCACTTTCTAACATTCTGTAATCTAGAAAGAGGTGGTCTCCAGACCACAGAAATAAAACTTGTAAAATTAACAAGAAACACTATCTGCATTTTTACAGTCCAAGGACATGTAATACTATTTAAATCTTAATAATTCCAACCTTTTTTTTTTCTTTTGGTTTTTAGAGACAGAGTTTCTCTGTGTAGCTTTGGTGTCTGTCCTGGAACTCACTCTGTAGCCCAGGCTGGCCTCAAACTCACAGAGATCTGCTTGGCTCTGCCTCCCGAGTGCTGGGATTAAAGGTGTGCGCCACCAACGCCCGGCTCTAATTCCAACCATTTTATGAAGACATTTTATAAGATTTTATTGCATTTCCATATTACTCTCTAGAGGCCTTATGTCTGCTGTATGTTTTCCCAATTTGTGTTTTAAGTAATTTCAAGGAGGACATGTATCTCACAGCATGAACAAGTTTGAAGGCCAGACCTACCCGAGTTTACATCACTTCCCTGCCACTTTTTTCTTTTAGTTGTATGATGTTAGGAAAACCAAAATGACTCACAATCCCTTTGAACTTTAACTTCTCTGTAAGACAATGATGGCACGTCCCATTTGCACATCTCAAGCCTGAATGCAGGCATTCAATTAGAGCATGCATGCGGAGCCCTGTCCACAGGATGGGAGTAATAACAGGGATGACAGCAACAATCATT